TCGAGCCTGCCACCCAGGCATGCGCCCTTGACGGATTCAAACTCGGACCAACCCTTCAGTTTCTAGGCAGATGCTTTATCCACTGAGCCAGACCTGCTAGGGCTAGCACAGCTTTTTTATCCATCCATTTCTTGGGTATGTTTCCAGAAGTGGGAACGCTTAGTCAAAAGATAGTTCCATTTTCAATTGTTTGAGGAAACTCCCTACTGTTTTCCGTAGTGGCTGCACCAGTCTGCATTCCCACTAACAGTACATGAGGATTCCCTTTTCTTCACATCCTTGCCAGCACTTGTTTGTTGATTTATTGATGATAGCCATTCTGACAGGTGTGAAGTGATATCTCATTGTGGTTTTATATTGCATTTTTGGGCTAATAAACTTTTTAGAGTGTTAAAATTTCTTAAATTCTATTTTTATCTAAATAATAGCAATTTAAAAATATGCAGGACACACCTGTTCCCAGGGCTGGTCATTAGCAAGAGGGAGGAAACTGTTCCTGAAATGTCTTGGAGTCTTCCTGGTGTCCAGTGGGTCTCAAGTCTCTGGAAGGTATGGGTCCTTCCCAGAAGCATCAGCTAATCGACTCCCGTTACCAAGTCCTAAGATCCAAATGTGGTTCCCAAGTACAGGCTGTACCTCTTCCTTCTCTGCTCCTAAGTGTCTGTCCTTGCTCATGGATCGGTCGCAAGAAACAAACACCACAGCAGGCAGGGGCGCAGGCCAGGCCAGGCCTCCATGATGTACACTTTCTCAGTTTGTAAGAAGTGGAAGATCTCTTTGGTTCTGGGGCAGACAACTGTATCATCATGACAGATAGAGAGCAAAGAGTTGTAGCTGTAGACGTAGCCAGACGTAGCCAGACGTAGCCGTTGGGCAGCATGATGGGCAGGTTGTTCTCGTTCATCATGTCGCCCAAGATCTTGCAGACCAGGCAGGAGTTGGTGCAGTGGGCCATGTGCAGGGGCTGCGCCAGCTTGTTCAGGGAGCGGCTGCACACGGGCAGTCGGGGCTCTTGGAGCTGCCGTCCTCCTTATAGCACTGGGGAGTCTTTATGGCCATGAGGCCGGCCTACAGGGTGAGGGTGAGCAGAGTTGTTCCCCAGCTGGTGCAGCTGGTAGTTGTCCTTTTGGAACTGCTGGATCAGCATCCTCCACCTGGCTGGGTCTAGCAGGTCCTTGTTGGGGGAGATGTGCGTGTCTTGTGGGAAGGCCAGCATGCCCATGACCCGGCGGCCTCGTCCAGCTGACTCCCTTCGGCCTGACTGAAGTGCTTCCATGCGTGCCTCATGGCGTCCAATCTCTTTATCTGCTGAGTGAGTTCAATGAACTTCTGAATCCTTAAGCTGAACTCCAGGCAACTCTTCATCTCGAGCAGCCGGGACTTGTGCCATCAGGCCTGGCAGGTGGCGGTCTCTAGCCTCTTTAGAGACTCTTCCGCTTCTTTGGTCACAGAAACATCTCGATGTTCATTAAGTCCTCCATTCTGCTCTGCCGCCCGGTTGTAGTAACCGAAGAGAGTGCAGCGGGTGCTTCAACCATCAGGCGGCCCAAGCCTTCCGCTTCCACAGGCTGGCGGCTGCCGGCTGGTCACTGCTGTGCTCCTTGAGGTGCTCAGTCTTGCATTTGCACAGCTAGGCGCTCTTGTTCTCGGCCTGAATGGACTCCACCACCTTCCTCTTGAGGAAGCTGAGCTTCTCCACCACGCCATCCAGAAGGCTGACCACAAAGTCCATGCTAGGGCAGCTGCTCAGGGTCAGCTTCAGCTCAGCCACCACCATGGTGACGTGGCTTGTCTTACCGTCGATGTTTTTCTGAGCAGCTCAAAAGCATTTGTTCAGTGTTTTGTAGAGCATCTTGAGGGTCAGGTACTCCTGCACTTTCAGGATCATGGAGAACTGGGCTGTCAACTCCTACACTGTCATCTTAATTTGCCAAAACATTAGCAGGCGCACAAACTATTTAGAAAAATTATTGGTAATGTGCAGCTAGAGCTTTAGAAGTACTTGTACCTTTAATATCAATAATTCCATTTCTAGAAACCATTCAAAGAAAATAATGAAACACAGATTATAATAACTGCTGTCTTAGAAATATAATAATCAGGGACTAATTAGGCAAAATCTCACATAGCCACCCAATGGAATATTATGTAGCCCTTGCATTTGTTTTCAAAGAATATTTAATGACCAAAAATGTTCATGTGATAATGTTAAGTTAAAATGGAGAGCTACAAAACATCAATAGTACCACTATTGCAATTTAACGTGTTTTAATGTCTGCAAGGGAAAAAATTGAAAGGCAAAATAATCAATATATTAACAGCAATTATCACTGGTAGAGTTATAGACAATTTAAATTTCCTTCTTGAATGTTTCATAGCTTTTGTTTCTCGACAATAAGGATATCCTATCTAATAAAAGAGAAACACGGTAATTAGCGTACAACCGCTACCCTTCCCATTGGCTAATCAGGGCGATATGCAAATTAACTGCCAGCCAAGATGGCGGCCAGCAGCCAGGCAGCTTAAAGGGAACATGAGGCTTGCTTGCTTCAGTGACGGAGGACTCCAACGTTCCCCGCCTGCTGCTGCCGGCCTCTGAGAGGGCAGTTTGAAACATCGTAACATATAGAAGCTAAAAAAACTCCAGAAACCTGCTTTCAGCGAGCTGGGATCTCAGAGCTGGAGTTGATACAGAGTTTTGATTAGAGAACACAAACGAGTCTGGGCCCGAGGGTTTCCGCTTTCCCAGCAGCAGAGGCCGCAGAGCTGGAGCCACAGCTAAAGCTGGCCCAGAATAAAAAATAAAAAAAAAGGAGCGGTTGGGAGCTTCTGTAACCTGCCAGCCTGAAAACAGCCCTCAGCCCCTCACCCAGACTGGCCAGGAACCCCAGTGGGGCCCCACACCACGCAGG